GAACCGCTTAGGGGTGGAAGCAGTATCTCAACCAGTCCTTTTTTAGTGTTTTCCCTTACCAATCCAGAGAAATATCTCCATCCTAACAACCTCAGTAAAACAAAGTTTTATGGCCTGCAGGGTAATTAATTTCAAAATGTTCCCATTTGGTATGCTTGATGATCACATCTGCTTATTTTTCCGCCCAAAGCTCTCAAACTGTCTCCTACCTGGATAACAACCAACAAGAAGCTCTGCCTTGCAGCTCCTTCCAGAATTCCCCAGTCTCCAAGCCAATATTACTTTTGAAATATTAAAATAATCCCATCCGCTGTGGTTCTAGCATTGTATCTTCTGTTCCATCTGACTTGAATCAAGCCTATAAAGTTAACTCCATAACTGTGTTGCAGCATCAATACTGAATGACCCTAGAGCTTGCTTGACAGTGTGAGTCTTGAACCGGGAAGTTCTCACAGTAATGAATTGGTCAGTGAGATCCTCAGAGCACTCCTTAGATCACGTACCATGGCACCTTTAATTCTGAACTATAGAAAGTTGGAGAGGATTAAGGTTTGGGCGGGCTGGTTGGTTTGTTGGTTCTGTCCTTGGCTTTCCTCAAAGGCAGTTCTTCATGTTGCTACCAGGATGTTTTGTGTCCGAGTTTATTAAAGTTATGTCAACATCTAGAGGAGTGTTTACATACACAGAGAATATTCAAGTATATGAAGCATTGATAACCTTAATTTGTTCTCTCCTCAATATTGTTGTAAGATCTTTTTATAACATCTTGGTCTTTCATGTCCAGTACAGAATCTTCCACCTAGACCTGCATGCCTGCCACCCATCCTCTCTGCTGCATTCATCCTGAAATCGGCCCTTTTACGTGGTTTCTTTGTATGATCCAGCAGTGAAAATTCAAAGTACTGACTTGCCCTCTAAGCTTTGGCATCTGAACCTGGTCTGGTTGCCTCATGCAGTGTCCAGCTGCAGCATCTGGGGAAGGAAGGGGAAGCGGGGAAGGGGAAACATGTCAAAGCGGGGCTGCAGGACGGCTGTCCTCATGTCCTCGCGTGTCTCCGAGCACCCTGCCCACCGTGGGAGTGTGGTGCTGGCAGGGGAGGGCATGGGGCTGCCCACCTGAACTGCGAAACCCGTTTGCCTTGCTTTTGCCTTCTCCAGTTTACAGGAGGCTGCATCCTTCCTATGCCGTAACTGGCTGGTGAGGACCCTTGTTGCCTAGGTAACAGAGAAACCTGAAAAAAAAATTAATAATTTCTTTTTTCTCTGTGTTTTGTTATAAAAGCTTGACATTCTTTTAATGCCCCTTCCAGCTGAATAACTTTTGTGGCCTAAGCTGATGTATCTTGCAGGAAGGATCAGAAACATGGTTTTCAATTATAACACAAAATTATAAAGGGTTTTGTAGTTCGGATGTTTAATTTCCTGCGTGCTCTGCACTGCATAGGGGACACTGCAGTGAGTGCCTCGGTGAAGAGCTGCCATCTGGCTGGTGAGATAGGCCTTGCCGTGGTGGCTGCGGGTAATTCAACCACTTTCTCTCTTCCTCACCGGTAACTTGCTTTTTTCTGCATTGCTTAAAATAGCTCCAAACTCACCGTGCCTTTGGTTAACACATTCAGCTGTTGTTTCGCTTTTGAACTCCAACCAGCGTGACACCCCTTCACGCTCTGCCTTTGAGTTTGTTGCCGTTTACATCTTGAAGGTTGTAGCAGAGCTTGACCCTCTCCAAAGATGACTTAACCGAAAGCCTGGTAAAGCCCAGCGGGAGTCGGCAGAAGAGGACTGGGCTGTGCGTGCACAGCTCCACATCTCTGGAGGTGAGGACCAACACCACCTCCTCTCCTCCCTGGAGCTCCAGCTGGGCCTTCAGCAGCACGGTGTGCTGGTGCGGAGGTGGGGCCATTGGAATGTCTCTCCTGCTCCCAGTCGTTGTCATCTGTGCTTTAATCAATATATTTGGTCTTGAAAGTCATTGAGTGGTGCATAATAGGACTTGAGAATCTTAGGGTTGTTTTTACCAGTACCAGTGAGGTTTATGGTAACCTGTTGTTATATTAATGATTTGTTATAGTTTCTCAGCCTAGGATGGGACTGTACCATTTTTATTGGCAAGAAGTTTCCTCTACTGTCTCTTCTCTTTTTTTTTTTTTTTTTTTAAAAGACCTCCAAGTTAGCTGCTGTTTCAGAGGATTTTTTTAATATTGCTTATCTGATCATGATTAAGCAATCCGGTGTTTATAGCATGTGCTTTGACCTTGATGTTAGTTCAGCTGGGCAGGGATATAAATGATGAAGAAATTCCTTAGCAAGCTTACCCCATTGTATTTAAAACTAACTCTTTGATATGCTGTTCTAAAATAGGAGCTTTTAAAGAAAGACACCAGTTTAGCTGCTCTTGGTAAATTGAAGGGCTGCTGGCAGTTTGGATTTTTCTTTTTTTTTTTTTTTTTTTTTTTTTAGCAGCAAACTGTACCTCTACTTGTTTCTATGAACTGTGATCTGGAATTTAGTACTGTGACGCTTACTGAATAGCTCAGGCGTTGCAGAATGAAACGAATATTGTAAACCAAAACTGAAGCGTGGGAACTTCAGGCCTTGGTCTGTAAATCTCGAAGCACCATGAAGGGTATGGATCCAACACAGTTTTGATAAAAGTTGGTTTGCTCTGAGGTTCATGAATGATACAAGGACTGTAATGAGTGGTATAACTATATTTTTCTGGATTTTCTCCTTTGGTTTTGTTTTCTCAATAAGTCTCAGCCATAGCAGCCTTGGTGCTACCTGTACAAACAGGAAAGCCTCTAAATGCAGCGGCACCTACAACACTGATCTTTTAGCCACAGATTCCCTCTGTGTGTTTTCACCAACACAAATTATCCTTAAAAAGGGGGGGGCTTCTGTCTAAAAGAAAAGATTTCCAGCACAGGACGCTGCTGTCACGGTGGGCTGAGTGACACAGTACGTCCCCAAGTTATAATTTTATATTGCAGTAATTTTGCTAATCAAACAGCAAGGTTTAAGACAACTCACTGTCAGCATGAAAAAAACCTCCAACTGAAAAAAACCACCTTTAGTTTCGAACAAGGAGCAGTTGCTGTGTGCAGAACTGCCGAGTCAAAGAGTTTTTTAAATATTCTGTAGCTCAAGGACTTGGCTCTTCTTCAAACATTTCCAACTACAGAAGGATGGGTAAACTTGCAAGTGGATGTGCCCCCTCTAGGGGCAAAAATGTGGAAATTTGTTACAGCAGGTAAATTCAAAACAGGAGAGAAGAATTTACTTGGAGTGTGAATATCTGGGGGTGTTTTAACCACAGTGAGAAGGGATTTCTGCGGTGGTTTAGGATGCAGCTTCCTCTGCATCTCGGTTTCGTGGCTCGCTGCAAGAGGCAACGTGTGCTGTATGCAGCAGGGCTCTGCATTCAGCCTTCTCTTACTTCAACTCTTAAAATGTTACAAAAAAATTTGCTGCCGTTTTTCCAGGATAGTTCCTGAAATATCTTTACAAAGTGTGTCTCATACTGTGAAGAAGTCAGCTTGCATTTGCTAGTTCAGTGTTAAAACCCTTGAGCTGTTCTGTGCGCCTCGTACCGTTTCGGTAAGAAGGGATGCCGTACGCAAGGCAGCACGCCGCTGCCCGGTCGCCTTTAGCACAAACACCCAGATTATCCCGAGGAGCCTCTCGGGAGTCTGGGGAAATAAAAATCCCTCCTGAAACTTCAGGGCTTTGAATGTGGGAGTTACAGGCGCAGTGTAAATGTAAAGTATGTGCTGGGTGTCGTTGCTCTGGCAGTGACACCGTGCTCCATACGGAGCCATGGAGTTGTCCGACTTGGGTGGTCGTGGTTGTTTGCTCTGGCAGTGCTCACTAAAACATGTGTCCTATAGGAAACTGTTTCAGCAATTTTTGAATGTTTGAGAAGTTGACAAAATCTTCCTTTCACAGTGGTCTTTTGCCTTTGGTCTTTGCCATTTTGCCTTTTCGGAGCTCAGGTTCAGGATGGTGTAATTCATCCAAGTAGCGTTTTCTGGGTGCATGTGTGCCCGGAACCTCGGGCTATGCTGCTGGTGAAATACTCCTCTCTTCAGTGACACATGGGGAGAACATCATCCTCCCTCATCGCTTCCTTCCTGCGGCTTTTGAAGTTTATCTTGGTTTATCTGGAGGGAGAGGTGCCTTTGACTTCTAGGGGATGCTTTTATGTCAACCCCAGGTTTCCATATGAAAACAAGGTGAACCTATTTTTAATGAAAACTTCAGATTTTTAGCATCAATCCTTTAAAGCCAGAATTCAGACCTCGTTGTTCAAATGGTTTAGCAGCGGGGTCAGCACTTCTGAGCATGACTGCTTTGATGTTAAATATGAAATGCATTCTTACTCATTTTTTTCCCCTCTTATCTCCTAAAGGTGCTCTTACAGAGTGTTACGATGAACTGGGCAACCGGTACCAGCTTCCCGTCTACTGCCTCGCCCCACCGATCAACATGATAGAGGAGAAGGGTGACCTGGAGACTCTGGATATTCCTGATCCCCCACCCAATTCAGGGCACGAATGCCAGCTTCGTTTGCGCCTGTCCACGGGCAAAGACCTCAAACTCATGGTCCGCAGCATGGACACAGTATACCACATGAAGAGGCGGCTGCACGCGGTGGAGGGAGTGGAGCTGGGCAGCCAGCGCTGGTTCTTCTCGGGCAGGCCGCTGGCAGACAAAATGAAACTGGAGGAGCTGAAAATCCCAAAGGACTACGTGGTGCAAGTCATCGTGAGCCAGCCCTTAGCAAATCCCACCCCGGTGGAAAACTGATTTCTGCTTGTTTATTGATTCTTCTTTCCTCCGTCTCTGTCATGGGGTTTGTTTTCACTGCCCTCTCTTCTTTCAGTTTGTCCTGCTAATGGATTGGTTCCAAGAAATGACCAGCAAAAATTCCATCTGTGATGGAGATCTGCAAAAAGAAAACATAAAAACGTAAACTGGCCTTTGGGGTTTGCCTGATCCCATATTTAACACGACAGCAAGCAGCACAGGGCAAGGGCAAAGGAAAGAGCGGGAAGGGAAAAGGAAAGGGAGGAGGTACAAGGAAGGAGGGAAGAGATTGTAGTTCACTTAATACAAAAATATAATGATTCTTAAAACTGTAGGTGGTGTCATGATCCATGGAGCCAGAACAACAGAGAGCACTTTTTATCAAAAAAAAAAAATTAAAAAAAAAAAAAAATTGATTAATTTACAAAATTTCATATCAGCACCACATACAGTTCATGCAAGAATCACAGCTGCTCTGGGTAGGTCCCGCGCTGCGTGTTCAGGGGGATCCTCTCTGGTTTGACCTAACTTGCGTGCTTTGCCCAGGCACCGCTGAGGCACAGCCGGCCCCGGGCAGCAGAGCTGGGCTGGGGGCTCGGTCTCCGTCCCCTGTGGGCAGCTCCTGGCGATGCTCAGACCAAGCAATTGTACATTCCAAGATGGCAACGCAGTCCTGTGCCATTGCTGGCTCCCGAGCTGGGAAGGCAGCCTGCCGGAGCCTTAGGCAATAACTTAGTCGATGTATACTCTCATGCACTGTACTGTAAACTTATTTGCTACAAGACTGACTTAGCCTGAAGTTTACTGGCTCACCGGCACCTGGATATGTGCCTGCCGAATTACTGTATATCACTCAGATCATTAAAACAAGTTTTTACCAGGCTAGCATAGGCAAGTGATGCGCTGGCCTGTGCTTAAGCGTGAGGTGCATCACCTTTGTCAAATGGCACCGGTATTAAAAGTCCAGGTTAAACTGCAGCTACACCCAGATGCAATGGATTGCAACTTCCCCTGCCCAGTTCATAGGGGGCACAAAGCATGGAGAAGGTAAGGAGGACACGACAGCACGTGGCTTTCAGCTTCCCGTGTGAGTGTCGTTTGAAGCAGCAGCTCTGGTGACTCTCCAGCCGGGACAACCGGAGGTGTCCTCACCGACACGCATCCGCAGCCCAGAGCATGACGGTGGTGTTTCACAGCCAGTGCTTTCCCTTCAGAATGTAAGAGGAGCCCTTTTGGCAAATGACAAATCCTTTTGTAGTCTCAAAAATCTGAATCGGAGCATATTTTGGGGGTGGGGAGAAGGGGGGAATCTGCCTGTTCCCTCAGTTAGTGATGCTGCCTGTGTTACTTCGGCTGTTCTGCACCCCTCTCTGCTAATGCCTTTGAGATCAAATGCCCTGTTCCTTTTAAACATGATTTCTAGTTTGCTTGTGTTTTCAGCCATCATTGAAATGACTTCACTTCTTCCAAGGGGGAATGTGCTATTTAATATGAATAGCATATTTTTATTGGTTTCTGTCTTCCCTCTCTGAATCAATGGTCTAAAGCTACGGTTGTCCCAGCTTTTTCTCGTCTGCTAGTGAAACTGGTGGGTTACATTGACAATTTTAGACTTGTTACTTTTGCTCCTTCATGAATTCCATAGAACTCAGTTTCTCGGACTTGAAGGGAGCTCTTGCCCCATGAGCATCAGCACAGAGCCAGAACGAGCAGAGGTCACTTGTACAACATCGGAGTCTTTCCCAGCAGGTGGAAGCAGGCGCAGAATTTACATTGATGGTTGGAAAACAGATCCACATTTTATATGCATTTCCCACCTTACCCCAAATAAATCTAGCTTTCTTTTTGGTCCCTGTGTTGCATTAAGCCTAGGGCTTTCTGACAGCTCCTTTAGCCCCAATTTGGTACTGGATGACTGAAGTGCAGTGGCAGAGCTGTGTAAAGGAAGATTAGTTCCCTGTTCTCATAAACACCAAAGTGACTTGGTTTTCTTTTTTTTTTCTTTTTCAGGATGAAATCAAAGCTGATAAATACTAATCTATAACAAAAGTTTTCTATTGTGGAGTTTTTTTAAGACAAATATGATTTACTGTACAGGGTTTTTGCAGCCAGATCTTTTGCATTCCAGAGGGGAAAAAATATTTGATATATAAACAACTCAAAAATCCCTTGGATTTTTGCTGGGCAAAGGATGGTTTTATGCCAGGAAGACACTACTAGTCATAAGGCATAACTTATATCTCTGTATAAATGGTCTTTGCAATGCCACTTCCTTGCAGGCCCTTCTGGAAGGGGGCAAATCATGATGGGTTAAGGAGGAGCAAGCCAGGGTGACAGTTCTGTAACTGTGAACACTAAAACACTACTTTTTTTTTTTTTTTTAGGTTCATTTTTGCTGATTTTTTTTTTTTTTTTTTTTTTTTCTTTCTCCATTCAGGCAATTGTCACCATGTACTGTTTTTGAGACTACGGCATGTAGGGGCTGGGAGAGCTCCTCCTTTCCCTCTCCCCCCTCTTAGCTGGAAAGGTTCAGTTTTATTACGCCGTAATAGATGACCATGTTTTATATTAATTGCTTTTATGTCTGGGAGCAAGGTGGTGATCTGAAGGCCATGTTGTGAATAGGCTTTTAGTCGAACAGAGAATTGGTTCATGAAAATACTCTTTTCTCTAACAGCCTCCTGTCCCTTACGCACATATCTAAAACTGAAAAAATTCAACGGTAAAATGCTTTTATAGGTGAAAGTGAAGACTTCTCAACCTCTTCTGTATAAGATGACAGATGTGCTAAGCACATACCCTGCTGGAAACAAATTTTACAAGATTTATATTAGGAAAGAATCCTAAGTTTCAAAATATATATATATATTTCAAAAATATCAGTAATGAAGGCATACAGCATGTTGACTGACATATCCCCTGTATATAAGTAGAGGTTGCAATATGCATTGAGAGAACAGTCCTTTCTGTTGCTGCAAAGCCTTGTCTTTCTCCTCTGAGATGGTCTTTGGTGCAAATGCCAGTGCAGGAGGCCAGGCTGGGGCTCCCGTGGGATTCGTGTGGGTTCCCGGGGCAGAGCAGGGCCCCCCGCGTGCCTGGAGGAGGCGGGGAGGGAAGGGTTGTTTAATTGCAGAGCAGGCATGGCTGAAGCAAGACTCACAAAGTGCTAAACCACTGTTTAGCTGGCAGCCCCAGTGGGAAGGCAGGACTGGTGCAGATCTGGGTGGCCAACACCAGTGGCGGCTCATGGGGAGGATGGACGGAAGCAGCGCACCAGTGCACGCGTCTTCATTTTGCAGCGTGGATGCACGTTGAGCTGCGTGCCGCTGGCGGCAGGGCCTGGGCTGGGTTTTGGCACGCTGGTGGGGGCGCTGCCCAGCGCTGCACGGCGTCTTGGTTAGAGCCAGAGTAACGCAGTGGGGTTTAATGCATGCGGCCATGAACTGCAATGCTGAGCACAGACAAGTGAGGAGTAACAGAATATTTTTTTCTTGTTAGACCCATCAGTCCTTTGCGTCATTCCCGACTCGCTCTGGCTGTGAACTGATGCCAGCAGATCACATTTTTTACCATTTTAGTGACGGGTCTGTTTGACATGATTCAAATTTTTATACTCGATTGTTGCTTCTGCCTGACCCAGACGTAGGAACCTGGTGGAAGTCCACACTCCTGAACAGCTTGAAAGGCAGAGAGGCATGAACACAAGTAGTCTGGCGGGGCGAGGGAGCTCCAAGGAGCCGCCGATGCTGTGGCTGTGTTGCTCGTGTGCTACAGGAGGCTCAGGGTTGTCTTCCACAACCAAGTGATGGCTGCTCCTCCCGAGCACCTGGCTCCCAAAAGCGTCGCTGGCTGCCTGGGCTCCTCCTGCATTGCAGTTTATTGGTGTCCGCTGCAGAAAATGCAGCGTGGAATAGCTGCGCGGCAAGAAACTTTTTTTTAGTTTTCTGAAAGCCTTTACTTCTCAGAATCTAGGGGATATGTTGGAAAACTAAATGACGTGAGTCAGCAATGTAATAAGCTGGGGTTTTTAATAGCCCCCTAATGCTAAAAGTAGTAGTAACAACAACAACACAACCCCTCACCCCAGGAGCAACCAAACAAAACCCCAGCTCTTCTTTGCCTTTCATAGAGAATTCCTAAGTTGCTTCAGGGAGGAGAGGAAAGAGGGGTTCATGGAAGCAACAAGGCAACACACGGCAATGTGCACAACCTGTGGTACAGCAGATGGCCGACTGATAAAACATTGCTGTAGTGTGATGTGCTTCTGCTTATATATCCATCGTTAGGAAATAATGTAAAAACTTTTGAAAAACTATTAAAAAAAAAAATAATCTGTTTGTTACAATGGTGGGATGCTTTTAGCCATGGAGTTCTGAAGGCATTTTAGCCGTGTCAGTGTTGGCGGAGTGAATGCTGTACCTTTCTCCATTTCTGTCTTCTTCAGAAGCCTAAGTGGTAGCTGCATTTCTGACTCTTGATCTATATTTTACAAACTCTTTTCTGTGTCACTGTAAATACGTCCAAGACCCTGCACCTTATGCAGAGAATGTTTACATTTTAAAAAAAAAAAAAAAAGTTGTTGGCTTTTTCACTGCGCTGCTCCGATCCTGTTATGTTGAAATGAAAGTAGTCTCTGTTAGGAAAAGGGGCTTTTTCTTCTTTGCCCTTCACCACTTCCCCTGTACCTCCGACTCCCTCCTGGATGATGGCTGGCGGCTCTTGGACAGCTTGCGCTCTCCTGGAGTAGCATGTAGAGGTGTTGGAGAAAGGCGGTTTTGAAAACTTGTTTGGGGGGGAGTGGGGGGGATGAGCTCCGTATGCTCTGCAACTTTCTTGGAAAAAGAAAAAAATCTGCTTCAAACCCATTAGGTGTTGGTGGTCTGCCTTGCAAGCTAAACTGATCTAGAAAGCCTTTGAGTTAAACTTCCCAGCAACTGTGCTTCTGTCTTCTCCCAAAGAAGAGGAATGTCCTGCTACTACATCCGCAGCTACGAACACTTCTGTTGGTTAATGACTGTATATACAAGTCTGCCTGCTTTAAGACTTTTCCTTTCATAAAGTGTTTTTGATTGCTCTGGTCTGCAAATGGGCTCT